TTTTTCATTATGTCGCGATTTTGTGTTTTGAATAAATTTTATTTATTTATTCAATTACATATAAATTTGCCTTGGGGGGTGGGCAATTTCATTAGTTTTGCAGTTTATTGGGAAACTATGTTTTCTCTTTCAGATGATGTTGCAAAACATTTTGTAGTGTATAATCTTTTAAAGCAGAAAAACTCAGATGAGTCAAATAGAAAGTTAGTCTAATTTCTGTTATGTGTAATATTTCAATTTGTTCATTGCAAATGTTTTTTATTATGTTCTTGAAAATGATTATAATTGGATTTGTTTGTAACTTTATATTTCTTCATATATTTTCCACTGTTAGTGTCAAACAAAGAATACGCGAGTTGTTTGAGATATGGTTGAAATTTAGGAAGAAAAAAAAATCTTACTAGTTTTACTCTAAATTATTGTATATGATATTAAAACTTTGAAATAGAAGTATTGCAAAGTTAATTTATTTTTTAAAATTTTAATTTCCATACTCTATTAATTGCATATGGAATCTCCAGACCATGACACCCTTACATCTCAGAGATATTGTCAATTGAAAGAATGCTGACTCAGCTTTTTAGGAATAATATGAAGAAACTACAAAACAACTTTGGCATATAGTATCTTCAAAATGGCTTGGAAGAAAATTTCTAAAATTTAGTACCCCAATAAATATTTACTTGAGGAATCCAAATATAGCCCAAAACTTCAGTTTTTCAGGTAATACCTCGTTTATCCAATTTTGTTTAAACTTATTGGCTTGTTAGTTCATAATTTTTAGAGGTAAAATGAAGACTCTGTTCAAATGAATATCAATATTTTATTTTAGGTCTACTGAAAAAAATTCAACAATTTAATTGTCTCTCTAATCTTTGCATTTTAAATTTGTATCTTTTTAGAAAATTTTTAGTTTTGTAACAAAAGCAATTGAAATGTAAAATATTTATTTGAAGATAGCATCAAATAGTGCTATTTATTGACTACTTTAGGACATTTATAGTCATGGCGCAGGGTAGAGCAAGGAGATTTTTTTTTTTATATACAAAAAATAAATTATTGATAAATAATCATTTAAGTTCAACTTAAAAACATAATTTGTTTTAGAAACAATTTATTTTTTTTATATTAATTCAAATCTTTGAATGCTTACCTCTTATAATATCAAAAACAAGCAAAAGTTTTGTTTTGTTCCTTTTAAATGTTGCATTTAACTTGTTTGTGTTTTTTTAAAGAATTATTGTGATTTTTTTTTGTTTTTTTTATATTTTTTTGGAAATTTTTAAATTTAGATATGTTACTATGTTAAACTACGATCGTTAAATTGTACCATGATCATTAAGTTATAGAAGGAAGAGAGTATATGGCATAAAACTATAAGAATAAACTGCAATTTAGATATTTCTTCCAAATCTTTGAACAATGGGTGTTTAGATTTGCAAACATATGGTGATCTAAGAAAATTCTTTGATAGATAAATTCACCATCATGACTTTTTAAATATATTTCTGATATCACTGTATTGTCACCTTTTTAATAATAAATAACTGATATACGATTAGTATAAACTTTATTAGGTTCCAGATTTTAGGAGAAATAAAAAAAAAAAATTCTCAAACACCATGACTAAAATGAACCTTCCCTATTTTAACGAACCAGATTGTATATTAATCATAGCTTAATCCCCTTTTTTAGTTTTAGCTTTGTTGCTAAAAGCACGGGATAAATTTATCAAAAATTGTATTGGAACAGGAAAGGTTTCTAAAAGTTTATCTTATTAAGTGCTAGTTTTAAAGACAATTTTTCAGGGAACAGATCCATCTGAAACTCTGCTAATTTATAACTCTTGAACATATTGGACAATGCCTTAGTAAACTGATCTGAGATTATGGACTCGTCCTTGTATTTGAGAGTACTTGTCCATAATCTTATGTGCCTTATGAGGAATAATGAAAGCTGTTTTCTATTTATTTTCCTTTTAGGTTTAAACACATTTTTTTTTTTTTACATTTGTTTTTTAAGACAATATTTTACATCTTTTGAATCTAACTCACTTAATAATTGGATTTAATTTCTACCGAAGTGTGGGTCTGTTGCTTATTGTAGGTTTATAACTTTAAAAAGTACCACAGATAGTTAAAGTAACGCTAACTAATAACAGTTTTATAACATTAGTATAACAGTTTTTTCAATTATTAAATAAGAAAGATGAAAGTATATATTTGATGTAAGTATATATTTTAAACTAATGGCTAAACTATTTGCTAGTAAAAAATCAGGGACAAAGTTTAAAAAGGATCAACCAACAGCCTACGTTGACATTTTTATCGAACTTGAATTAGTTGAGGGTCAGTGTGAGAAGTCAAAAAATGTAACACAACAATATTTTTGTCTAATGTCAACGCGAGATGATATTTCCAGCTTACCAGCATTGTCAAAACAATTGCAATATGATTTAAAAATATATATCGCAATTGGCATGCGGTAACTTTTCTTCTTTTTTTAAATATGTTCATATCCAACAAGACTACAAGCAGCCACTATTAGAGTTGGAAATTACTTTAAGTGAAAAGATGAAATTTACAGAGCAAGATAACGATTAACAGATGACTTTAAAAATTGAACATTACATGAATTTATTTTAAAATATTGAAAATTATATGAATATTCTATCCTTAGTTATATCAGAAACCACCCTGTAGACTCCGTATGATGTTCTTTTAATAGGCCAATAAATGTTTTTAACAAATATATAGGGTTGTTATATGCCATCATTTTGGCTTGTTTACTGAGGCATATTTATGTTTGCCAGCCTGTTTAAGCCTTATGTCTAATGACGCGACGCGAAGCCTTATGTCTAATGACGCCTGTTTAAGCCTTATGTCTAATGACGCAAAATATCATTATTAAAATTATTAAAAGGTGTTATAGTAATGGCGCCAATTATTTAAAGGTGTTTTAATAATGGCGATTCTCGTTAGATAACATATGTGTTTTGTATTTATATATGTATATAGACAAATAAAATATACAAAGATTGTTTATATAGTAAAGAAAAACTATGTATAATTTTATATGACATATATATGTCGTGACATGTTTTTTTTTTACTTTATATGTCATTAAATTTTCTTTATTTTTATATATTTTATACTATTTATGTCATATTAGATATATCTGAAAATAATGAAACTTAGATTGATTAACTAATTTTTTTATTACATTAATGTATAAGTGTAAAATCCTATTTTATTTACTGTCATTTATATTTTATGTATTATAGTTTTATTTTTAAACGTAATGCTTAAAATATAAATGTCAGGAAATAAAATTATAAAATTAAGATTTTTTACTCATACAGTAATAATATAAAAATCAGTGAATAAATCTAAACTTTCATTATTTTTATATAAATGTAATTTTATTTTCTTTGAAGTCAACAGTCAATAACCTAATCCCTGTTACTATATTATAGATGCATGTAACTATATTATATATCGTAATATGATATATATGACAATATGATATATATTATATATATGAATCGATTCATATATAATATAGTAACATACATATATAATATAGTAACAAGATATAACAGTAAAAAAAATTATATGTCTACTACTAATTATAATAGAAAGTACTTTGAATAATAGGAAAGTTCGAGTTATCTGAGGTTTGAGATATTGGGAGTTTACTGTATTCTAATGATTATTATTTTTACATTCCGTCTACATAGATTTTTGAATTTTATGCTGAAAGTTGCTCTTTTATATATATATATATATATTTTTTAAATTTTAATTTATTATACTTTTGCAACATTTAATAAAAATACGTATGATAAACCATTATTAATATATCAATGATCTAACATTTAGTGCACAAACAAATAAAACAATACATTTATTAACGTTAGAATATGATTGTTTTATATTTTAATGATGAAAAAATCAAAATTTTACATGATATTTTTAGTAGAAAATTTTATAAGTATTTTATGAAAAAATAATGGCAAAATTGATAGTTTTTCGTAACTTCAAATGTTATAACTTTTCCAATTCTTATCAAAATGTATACAATTTGGTATAAAAACAAAGATATGAAAAAGACAAGGCACCTACAACACCCAGTAATATGTTACAAATTGATATTTGTTAATGAAAGTTTTGTGTTTTTTATTGAAATTTTGGATTTTTATTTGCAATTTTTTATATTCTAACAGACGATCATTAAATATGATAGACAAACAAGTAGAAAAGAATATAGTAATACATAATACTCTCCTCATATGTAATACTTTCCTTAGACGTAAATCAAATTGTTTAAACCGGATATGATGATTAAATGTTGTATCGGCATGGTTTTATTTGTCTACTTTGCTTTTTCAATTTGGTTGATAGCTTCAACCTAATTCTTGATTTAGAACTATGATTTTGAACTAAAACATTTCCGCGTTGAATAAAATACTATTTATTCTTAACTGTATTTTTTTTGAGGCTTCAGTTATCAAATGTTGGTGGTAATTTTAGTTATGCCACTGTGAAAGCGTCAATTGTTAAGTATGTGTTTACTTTTTCTATTTTGTTTTGCTATGCAAAAAATTTTGATTAATAATTACTTAATTATTAACTAATAAGTTTTGTTTTGTTAAATTATTTATAATGGTTATTGTTTATCTGTATACATTACACTATAGAGTATATGTAAATGCATGTGCAATAGCATAGGTTGTATTTTTTTATGTATTCACATAAGACATTTTCAAGCACATTGTCCAATCTGCAAACTTAATTATTTTTATCTTGATGTCGAATGACAACGTTTTGCCCTTTCCCATCCCTGAATGTGAAGGAAATGAGTTCTGTAAATAACAGTATTTTATTTAATATTAAATTAAATTTCATCCACAGGTTTGTAACTTTATTAGTATTTTAGCTTTCAAATGTTTTGACCATATAAAGTTTAGTTTCCCTCCTTATATATGGAGGTTACAAAATGTACATCATCATAACTTTTGAATGCTAATATGAACTCATTACCCTCATATTCAGATATAGGAGAGCAAAATTTTTTGGGTATTTTAGTTTTCAAGCACCTATGTATTATTTATAACAAATAATAGATTATAATTTATTTTTTTTATTTTCATTCCAGGTAGACATAAAAATTTTGAAGTATGCACAGAAACTGAAAGTGTCAAATATGGAACCTAAAAAAACCTGCCTTTGCCACTGACTGTATAAAGGTTATTTAAGGTAAGAGCTTAAATAAATTAACAGAAAAAAAATATTATAAGTTATACATTTTTATACTAAAATAGAATTAAAATATATATTTGTAGTTTCAGTTTTTGTCACAAATATTAAATATTTGTGACACAGAATACAGATACTGATGTCTGTCTTCTTTAATTTCATTAATGCTCTATCTACTGTTTTCTTTTTGTGCATGACCTAATTTCTTTTCATATCCATATTTTTTTAGGTCTGTTTGTCAAGCGTCAAGTCATGTTATCTTGCTACTGGTACCATGCAGTACATCCTGCTTAAGCAGGTTGTACGCCATCCATACAGCGTTTAGGCATCTGTTTGTAAAATATTGCTGCAAATCTTTTTAAGAGAGCCATTACTATGGAGAACCATCTAAACCATAAAAGTGTGGAAACATGGATGTAAGTCTTAAACACATTTGTGATATATAATTGTAGATTGTTATATGTTATAAGTTTGGAAATTATATTCTGCTAAAAAAACTTTTTAAATATATTTTAGCAGAACATACCTGGCCCGCATTTGATCCTGAAAAACGTTCTTTTTGGACCAAATGCTGACATTTGAAGACATTTATAGGTATACCTGTTAATGTAATATATTTTGTATTGTATTTTGAATGCTTAGTTTTGACGAATTTTTAAATACTGCGAACCCACACTCGCACAAAAATCAACTGTGAACTCTTATTTAATCAGTTGCAAAAGTTGACTTTGAAAATTTTGTATAAGATATTATAGCTTATTTATTAGACTGTGTTTTTAGAATGAAGTTTATTCATTTGCTGGCAACATTTTTAAACGTGGTCCACATCGAAAAAATTTGGTGCTAGAAATTGTCGATAGTGGAAGTGATAGATGCATCGAACCTAATTTGTAATTAATTTCTGTAAACAAGTTTCACTTTACTAACTTTTGTGTTGAATTCTTGTTTTTCTAATGGTAATTGAAATTAACAAGTCTAATAATTAACGTATAAAAAAATACGCACCAAATAAGACCTATTTATACCTAATGTTTTTCATTATTTCTAAACTCTAACTAAACTCAATTTCTTAGTCCTATCGGGACGTCTTTTTTATGTTCCTCGTAAGGCGTCTTTTTTACGTTTCTCTCAGGACGTCTTTTTCAGGTTCCTTCTGTGACGTCTTTAAAACGTTCCATGTATTTCAAAATCCAACCAATTTAAGACGTCCGATCGGGACGTCTTAAAGACGTTCTAAAGACGCCCGCGTGCCCACTGGGCTATATCATATCTTGGTCTTTTTATTTACTGCTATCCTTCAAGGGGTTTTCACAATGATGAGCTAAGAAAGAAACAAATTTGAACTAATAGTTTGCTTACAATAACTTGCCAATGCCGATAAATTTAGCCTTAAAATTAATAACCATGCATTATTCTCATTCTCTTTTAGTTACTGTTGTCAATATATTGTTTTTTTTTATAAAAGTCGCATTCCAGCCTTTCTGGCACATTCTTTTATTTATTTATTTTTACCATTTTTTAATATCTCTTACAATTTCAATAAAGTTTATTGCTTTTTTTTTATTTTTACGTAAAACATTAAAACAAACATTAAAGTGATTCGAAAGTTGTTACATGTTCAAAAAAAAATTTTCATGACCATCTAATACTGCTTTATAGTTTTAAAGTTTAAACTATTGAGTTCAATGTACAATCGTTTCCTATTTTGATTACTAAAAACAATTAAATTGAGATTTTCGCTTTAATATTTAAGTTTATTATTTGCCTCAAATTAAAATAAAAGTATTAACATGTTGAGTAGAATTAAAAATTAAAATTGAAATTAAAAAGTACAAGTTTTCTAAATTTCTTTCTTGATTTCTAAACATTTAATAAGAAGTTGAATCTTACCTTTTTTAATTTTACATACAAATCCATAAAGATTATTACAACTAGCATCACTCCAACCATAAGAACTTACTTCCACGCAGTTTTCTCCTCCAAAGGAATTGTCAGGTTGATCCTGCCTCCAATTAAAGAATAACGGAGTTGTATTATCAGACCAAACAAATCTTCTTTGAAGAGTATTGAGACCTTTAAAAATATTGAAAATAAGTTTCAAAAAAATTATCATTAAAGTTAAACAAACATAGTGAAGCAGTTAAAACTAGCGTACCAATCCAAAAATGCAAATCGTTCATGCTGTTATTTTTGAGATAGTTTAAAATGAATATATTTTCTTCTTGATCTGCTACACTGAGCAAATTTCCCCCATTATTAAAACAAGATGAAAAAGAATCTGTCCAATTTTTTTCAGATTGTGTGGGATTTCCAGTTTGGAAAAGATAACAATATATTCCATATTTAACCCAACCATCAGGACAAACTTGGCCATCAATCTCTAAAAAAAGTTTTATAACATCACCTTTTGTAAATTTTAAACGAACAATTTAATTCAAAATAAAATAGACTATCACTTGCAAGAAAAATATTTAAATATTCCGAAATAAACTTTTATTATAACAATACTATAACACACTTTTTGCATTTTTAAATCTTTTTTTCCCCAAATGTCTATTTCTTAAATTTTTGTTATTTCCTGGTGTATTATATGTTAAAAAGCTGTTATACTTTTTAAAGTCATCATTAACCTCATTACTATATACATATTTAGTAAAATTAAGGGTGTATTTCTCTTCATAAGACAAAATTATTATTGTTATCAGGGATTTTTTAGTATATTGTATGAAAGATGTATGTTCTACAAAAATAAAAAATTTATTTGAACATACAAGCGTTAGCAGATTGTATGAACCACATATTAGTATGTGTAAGGTATAACGCTAAACTGTTCGAATTTTAACTTTTATTTAAACTGTGCATGATGTAACGCTAAACTATTCAAATTTCAAACATTTCTCAATCTAGAAATCCTAAGGCCGAAAGAGCAAACCTTTTACAGCAATTAATATTCTTTAATTACTCAACATGTGGAATGCAAAAAAGAAAAATTTTTAGCTGGAAAAAAAAAGTTAAAGTCTGTTAAATTTTCTAATTGCATTCAATAAAAGTTAACATAATTTTTTTTTTTTAAATTAAAATTTTTTAAAGCCTTATGTAGAAATTTGAAAGAAATTTTAATTTGAAAATGTAAAAAATTCAAGTCTTTTTTGTGTTAGTATTTATAAGTTATTAAAGCATTTTTAAAAGTTTATTTATGTTACCTTGAAGTAACAAATAAACTTATAAATGTGTACCCAGGAAAAAAATACCAAGATGAAAACTGAAATAACAAGTTTGATAATTTTAAAATAATAGTAAAAACCTTAGTTTACAAGTTACACAAAAAATTACCAAATAACTGTATTAAAAAAGTAAAACCCTCTACAAGTTCCATAGCCAATATATTAAAATTAAAAAAAGTAAAACCCTCTACAAGTTCCATAGCCAATATATTAAAATTAAAAAAAGTAAAACCCTCTACAAGTTCCATAGCCAATATATTAAAATTAAAAAAAGTAAAACCCTCTACAAGTTCCATAGCCAATATATAAAAATTAAAAAAAGTAAAACCTTATACAAGTTCCATAGCCAATACATAAAAATTAAAAAAAGTAAAACCCTCTACAAGTTCCATAGCCAATATATAAAAATTAAAAAAAGTAAAACCCTCTACAAGCTCCATAGCCAATATATAAAAATTAAAAAAAGTAAAACCCTCTACAAGTTCCATAGCCAATATATAAAAATTAAAAAAAGTAAAACCCTCTTCAAGTTCCATAGCCAATATATAAAAATTAAAAGAAGTAAAACCCTCTTCAAGTTCCATAGCCAATATATAAAAATTAAAAAAAGTAAAACCCTCTACAAGTTTAGTATAATAAAAATAAGTAGTTTTTGACAACGTATAGCAATGACCTTTAACTTTGAAGAAACCCATAGTTTGATAAATACAGGTAGCACAAAACTAATTTAAACAAACTGTGTTCAACAGTTGTAAGAAGTGATGTTACACTATTTTAAAACATATTGACCTAATTATAAATGTTCCATTATTTTGTAAACTTATTTACATATTTTCTAGAAGACTATTTGAAGTTGTAAAAAAAATCAGAAAATAAGGGAGGTAGGTTTACTCGTTCATGATTTTAGATTAATAGACAATTTAATAATAATAAATAATAAAATAAGCAAGATCACAAGGTTTGAATATCTTTTATTTAAACCAGGAATGCCGTAAGTTTGGTGCAGCGACTGATTTGTAGCAGTCTTCTTTCTATTGTATCGCAGTGGAAGCTAATAAAATTCCACCACTTATTGGAAACATCAGGCGTCATAGTCTTAAGAGAAGGAGAAAATATTTTATATGAGTGCAAGAGAGTGCTAGATATTTTTAGATATATGAACAGATGTCTAGCATGTGGAAGCTATTAAAGTTCCACCACTTATATGGAACCATGAGGCCGTAATAGTCTTAAGAGATGGGAGAGATGTATTATATACATTCAAGGGAGTGCTAGATAGATTATAATCTTTGGCTATGTGTCCCATATTGAGAGGTGGTGTTTAAGAGGGGAGTATTATTCAGTGATTAAGTTAGAGTTAAGACAAAGTTGTATATATATATTTGTATATCTTTATATATCAAAAAGGGTGGCCAAAGTTTTTTTTCCATTTTTTATTGCTTTTAAATAAAATTTATATAGTTAGGCTGGCACTTTCCGAGTTTTGGAGAGGCCCGGGCCAGTTATGAATCGGAGGCCCTAAAAAAAAGATTTGCGAAAAATTTACTCAAAACGCGATGCAAGTTAATGCTAAGCCATTTAAGTCTTCAAATAGTATGGGACCAGATAAATGTGTAACTTTCAAAATAAATATAATTAATTAGACGGACAGTCACTCACAGATGTGGCGCTTTTTGTACGTTTTATCAAGCCAAATAGGCAAAAAATGCGCTAGTCTATTAAGTATACATTTTTTAGGGAGGTCTGGGTACTGAAAAAAAACGACCGTACGATTGGAGTTTTAAACTGTTAAGGTTGTTTTCCACAAGACGAAAAATTTGTGCAAAGCGATTTTTTTCGTCGTTAAGCATGCGCAAATTAAACATTTTTGGCCATTGTACTGATTTTTTTTCGCTGCAGCGAAAAAAAAAGTCGGATTCATTTCGACTTTTTTGGAATCGCTAGAAGCAAAAACCAATCAAGTTTTAAATATTATATCACGTGATGTCAACATAAAAAAAAAGCGAAAACATGTTGTTTTTAAAGTAAAATTCTCAACGAAAGTTACACTTCATATGAATATTTATCTTCAAGTGGCCACACGAAGATAAACCTTTTAGTGAAAAACTCTACGTAGACTTAAACCTGCTGTTCGTTCTTGCAGTAACATTTTTAATCAAAATGTTCAAATCAGAGTTAAGCATTTATTTTCTTATACTTTCTTGTAAAAAAAAACCTTATATTGAATGGTTATATTTCAAAATAATATCACATCTTACATATAAAGGCAGAAATGTTAATATTAATGCATGGAAAGATATTTTCACATGCCTCAAAGTAGAAAGTATGCTAAAAAAGTAATAACTGCTTTTAGTTAAACATGCAACGTAAACTTATTGCTGCCATTTTTATTGTTGACAACGAAAAAAAAGTAGCGCGAAACAAAGTAAGTGGAAATCAAAACAGCGTTTCGTCATAGCGAAAAACTCGCTTCGCGCAAATATTTCGTCTTGTGGAAAACGGCCTTTACTAAATTATGTGTTACAATTCAGATTTCACAAATGTATGATTAATACATATATAATTATTCATTGATTTTTGTTTATTGGTTTTTTTTTGATAGGTAATTATTTGGAAATCACTATAAATAAATAGGTAAATTAAGGACACATTTTGAAAATGAAATTTAAATAAATTTACT